TAATCTCACAAAAACATACTACAATTTCGCTTTTCAGAATGAATTTTATGCCCTCTGATCCCTAAAGGAAACCACTATACAGAAGTAAATTACAGAAGGCCTCACAATTAGTAAAACTGACCTGTGACATTAATCCAGACCTCCTACATCTTTTCCTTTTTCTACTACACCAGGAAGCCTTTACAGAAATCTCCATAAAGATGAAGTGGCACTGTGAGTAAATTGTCCATCTGCCAACTGCTAGGTCAGCAGTTCAAATCCACCAGACGCCCCGTAGGAGAAAGCTGGCACTGTCTGCTCCGGTAAAGGTTGTCATAAAAGCAGTTCTACTCTGTCCTATAGGGTTGCTATCGGGATCGACCGGACCTCAGTGGGTTTGATTTCGGTTTTCCCTTTTTGGAATGACATCTGGGGTTTGGGGGTAAACTCGTCTCTGAAACAGTCTCAGTATTTCTGCTGAATCACGTGATTCTCCGCATGGAGGCGGGGGTGTAGGGTGGAGCGACCGCCATCTCTGCCCCGGGCCCCCAGAACTCGAGGGGAGTTCCGGGGAGAACCAGAGTCCAGGCATCTCCCTCCACTCAATCCTTTAGCAAATATTTGGGTGCGAGGGGACGTCCGATTCGGCCCAACAGTAAGTTGAGCCGGGATGTGAGCCTTCAGGTTCATGACCAGAAGGGAAACACATCGCGACACTAACACACACCGGGTTCCGACACTCACTCACCTAACACCATCCCTGCGGTTATCCTGGTCACCTCCAAGGGCATGGATTCGAACGTGCTGCCGCCTTGCCACTCCAACCTTCACCTGCGACTTCCTCTACTCGGTGGTTGCATCATACAACGTCTTTGTATCCGACGCACTAGTGAGTCACAGGAACGTCGGGACACCATTGGTTCGGGAAAGTGGGTAAGCGACGCTAGAGCCGCCCTTTTATGTCAGGGCAGAAGCGACTTCCGGGTTCGGAGGATGCCCCGCTACTGCTGGGAACGCTGAGGGTCTCCAGTGCGTGGGTGCCACCCAGCTGGGGACTCCCGTTCGATTCCCCTCGGGAGCCAGAGAAAAAATTTCATTCCCGATCACATATGCTGAAATGTTTGTTGATGGAACGGCTAGCAACGATGTGGGAGTGCGAAAGTCAGACAGGACTAGCCGGTCGTACCGCATGAAGATTTAACTTTTCTAATTTCAATGAATGAATACGTTTCTAATGTATTTAGGTGACTCGGCGTATGATGTTATTATTGTCGTTAAATGCGTGGAGTTCGTTCCAATTTATAGACTCCGTAAAAGATTTTCGAGGCTGTAAATGTTTGTGGGAGCAGAAAGCCTTATCTTTCTCCCGCGTTGTGGCTGGTGGAATAAATGTCTGGCCTTGTGGTTCATATTCCAGTGTCCATCCTACGGGACCACCGTGTCCCCAGGTTATGGCCCCGCGTCCCCAGGTTATGGCCCTGTCCTGCTGCCACCATGCCATTCCACCTCACTGGGGTTCTTCCTCTTTTTCACTGGCCTTCTGCTTTACTAAGCTTAATGTCCTTCTCCATAATGTCTTTTGCCAAGAATCATGTCCCTCCTGATACTATTTCCAATAATGTGTTTTGTTTTTGTTATTTGTTATTTGTCTTTTTCCCCCATAAAATCCAGCTTCTCATATTTCTCAGCATACAGGTTGAATACGTATGGTAAAAGAATACAACTAGGGCAGCACACACCTTTCCTGATTCTAAACCATTCAGTGTCTCCTTCTGTACAAAACAACTGCCTCTTGGTCTGTGTACAAGATCCTCATGAGCACAATTAAGTGTTCTGGAATACCCATTCTTTGCAATGTTATCCATAGTTTGTCATGATCCACACAGTTTAAAAGCCTTTGCATGGTCAATAAAGCACCGATAAACATCTTTCTGGTATTCTCTACTTTCAAAACCCATCTGACATCAGCAAGGCTGATCCACATCCTTGTCTGGATCCAGCCTGAACCTCTGGAAGTTCACCAGCTACTCCTCGGAATCCTATTACAGGGTTGCTATGGGTCAGAACCGACTCGATGGTCCCTACCAACAACAACAACAACACAGAGTTGACATAAGTGGAAGCTTACAGAGTGTACTCTTTTTTGGCTTCTTTGACTCAGCAAACTGATTCAGGTATTTGCCCACATTCTTACATTTAGCAGTAATCCCCTCTTTTTTTTATCACTGAGATCACTTGGAAGTGGAATGGCTAATTTTATGCTAAACGTATGTTTAATTTCTTTTTAAAATGATAGATTTTGTTGTTGTAGTAGTAAATATGTCCACCACACAACTTTCACAAATTCAGCTTTTTACAGATGTACACCTTAATTGACAGCAACCCTCCCCTGTGTTTAACTTCTTGAGAAACTGCCAACTCTCATCCAAAGTGGTTTTGCCATTTTATGTTCTCACCAATACTTAATATGATCAGTCTTTCAAGTTTTAGTTATTATAATAGATGCAGTGCTATCCCAGGAAGCACAGTTGCTCCATAGGGTAAGCACTGGACTGTGAACCACAAGTTCAGCTGTTTGAGCGTGTCGGCTACTCTGCAGAGAAAGATTAGGCTTCCTGCTTCTGCGAAAGATTTAAGTGTCTTGAGTGGGTTCCAACTCATGACGACACTGTACAGGGTTTCCGAAGAGCGCTTGGTGGGTTTGAAGCGCTATACCACGACTTCAGCCCCTGATAACCACTACAATCTTGGGATTTATGCATTTGCCCATTCTAGGTATTTCATATAAGTGGGATTATCCAATATTTGTCTTTTTGTATTTGGCTTCTTTCACTCAGCATGTTTGTTGTTTTCTTTTTTTCCAAATGTTTTATTGTGAATTATGTGATAGTTTACATGGGAGAACATTAGCTTTACATTCATCCTACGTATATCATTTCATTTCATGGTTACTATCCCCT